ACTTGAAGGCATTTTCTGGCTGCAGCCACTGTCAGTTCCAACAGGAGACTTTTTCCACCTCTCCAGCATTCATGGGCAGACCACCCCAGAGACCCTCAGCACACACGCAGACAGGGATGTTTTGTCACTGCTTAATAATGTAGGTCAGGAATTAAAAAGCAAATCAGACGCCACACTTTCGCTTTTCCATTTTACACACATCAAGTTCATTATTAGTGATGTAATTATGGAAGGGTGTGGCAGGATATAAAACACATTATGAACGATTTTTGTTATTTTGAGCCCACTAAGTATTCAGAGAACACAGGGAAAATTCTCTCTAGCATAAGTGAGTCTTGATGCAAATCAAACAAGAGATACACCAGGGACACTCACTCCTTCTGTTACTCTACATCCTGCACAGAATTCTACAGGCACTCTTCCAGGACACTACAAGTCATGTGGTGTATTTTAATAAAGACGTTAAAGATGTTTCAGAACTATTTGTTTTCACCTGGATGACTAAACCAAAAATTTCTTTATACACAGCCATATGTTAAATTGGATTATCACCCTCCTAACCTCTACCCAGTCTGGAATAAGAAATGCTGAAATAATAACAAATATCATAAGATGAGGAAAGCATTTCTTACAGCATTTGTGGAGGCAGGAAGTACTAATCAACCTCAAAAAAATAAGGAGTCCCTTCTTGTATGAGCTACATCAAGATCGTATAGAATTTCAGGGTGTAACAGTCTGGATGAAGATCAAATAAGGATCCACACCGTAAGATAATTATCTCCTGAGGTTTGACCATCCTATTAAAAGGAAAGCTTTAGTTTTATAATCAGCTATGAGCCTGCAAATATAGTGGAATATTTAGGAGTTTTTCTCATTCAACGTCTCTCCAAACAGATTTGTGGCTGAATCTCACCATTGCATTAATCTTCTGCCAAGATGAGTATTCTCACAGACACATTTTTGCCTCCCTAATCAGACTCTTATGCCACTAAATAATGGACATCATGACAAACTTACTCACTTGGGTTGAAAATAACAAATACGTTCTGGTGCCCTTGAAATAATTACAGAACTCCACCCTTAGCTTCACATCAACAACTGGTCTGGAAAATGAAAAATCACTGAATAAATCTAAGTGAAAACCCTAAAATGCACAATTATTACCAAATTTCCTAAAGATACAGCAAGAATTACTACCAAATTTCCTAAAGATACAGCAAGAAAATGTAAATATAAAGAGGAACTGTAGATGTAAGTGGTTTACATACCTAATATCCATCTCTAATGAGCAACATAAACCACCACACTGAGCAAATGTGGAATAGGGAGGGAAATGTAGCCTGACATCAGATACTATGTTATTAAGATTAAAAATGTAGTAGCACCACGAATTTTACCAAGCCAGAAATTCTACTGGCAAGCAGGCTTTGCCTTCCACCCCTCCTGACCTATATTCTAATGATTTCTTAGTTGTAAACTCAGTCCATTTTTAAAGAACACCAGTTCAGAGGGAAGTATTCTGTGATGCCACCACTACATCATGTCTGCAGAAGCCACTCCCATAACTCCCTTAAATTAGACAAAAATCAAAAGAGTAAGTGAAGGCAAATCCTAATCCCACAAATATTTAAGCATACATATGCAACTTCTAAGCCCAGCATTTCCTACGCAGCCATCAGTGATGATGTGTGGAAAAAGATGTCCTTAATATCATTAATAGAATCATTACGTACCTACCCCTTACAGTCAAACAAATGAGGCTTGTGATTCTCTAAGGGAAATGAAAATTTTAGAACTTTTTACTTAGGGATCAAGTTTCAAATTTTTTGTTAGGTTGTTCAAGTAGTTGAAAGCCCTTCATCTTCTTGGACTTATGAAATGAGAGATCACGTTTGTGGGGCAAGCACCAGAAAACATCACGTTTTTGTGCTGCTCTACTCACCAATATTTAAAACTCTACATCTAAAATTTTAATCCTTGTACTAGAACACGTGAAGGCAAGCAGGAAGCATTCCAAAATTCAGACCCAAATGACCAGACCACGTTTTGATTTCTATTAAATACTTCTGAAAATCACAGACGCACAATCTCTGCTGCTTCATCTGCCTTTTCTCTATTATAATCTGTTATTTCTCTGTTTATTTCAGATTACTTCACAATGTCAGCGCAAAGGCAATACCAGATTAAGATTTGGTATTTTTTTCTTTCCCATTGGGTTTGCATCTCCCTTCAATGTCACTAAAAAAACCAC